AAATATATTTTAAAACAATACGTTAGTTGTGTTAGACCAAATTGTGTCCCCCCAAATTCCCATGTTGAAGTGCTAACCCCTAGTACCTCAGAAAGTGACTGTATTTGCAGACAGGGCCTTTAAAAAGGTAATTAAGGTTAGGCCAGGCTGGGTAGATCACACCTATAATCCCAACTCCCAAGACGGGCGGATTGCTTGAGGCCAGAAGTTCAAGACCAGCCTGGCCAACATGTCAACACCCCATCTCTACTAACAGTACAGAAATTAGCCAGGCATGGTGGCACATTCCTGTAGTCCCAGCTTCTGAGGAGGTTGTGGCATGAGAATCGCTGAAACCCGGGAAGCAGAAGTTGCAGTGAGTCAAGATTACACCACTGAACTCCAGCCTGGGTGACATAGCATGACTCTGTCTCAATGAAAAGGTGTTTAAAGTTAAATACTACTACTGGGGTGGTCCATAATCCAACAGGACTGCTTATAAGAGGAGGATGCTGGGCCCAGTGTCTCACACCTGTAATCCCAGCACTTTGGGAGGCTGAGGCAGGCAGATCACAATGACAGGAGTTCGAGACCAGCCTGGCCAACATGGTGAAACCCCCGTCTCTACTAAAAATACAAAAATTAGCCAGGTGTGGTGGTACGTGCCTGTAATCCCAGCTACTTGGGAGGGCTGAGGCAGGAGAATTGCTTGAGCCTGGGAGGTGGAGGTTGCAGTAAGCCGAGATCATGCCACTGCACTCCAGCCTGGATGACAGAGCAAGACTTGGTCTCGGGGGGGGAAAAAAAAAAACAGAGGAGGACACACACACAGGGACAGCACAGCAACACGATGGCCATCTATAAGCCGAGGAGAGAGGCTGCAGAAGAAACCAACCTGCATACAACTTGCTCTTGGACTTCTGGCCTCCAGAAGTGAGAAGCTGGATTTCTGTTGGGTAAACCACCCAGTCAGTGTTACTTTGTTACAGTAGCCCCAGCCAACTAACACAGGCAGTACGCTATTTTGTATATCTACCTACATACGCATATGTGGTGTATATGCATACATAAAAGACCACTAACACTGACTGCCTGGGAACAGGCCTAAATGTGGGGAGGAACAGGGGACATCTATTACTTAGTGTTCTGCTCTCCTGGTTGGGTTTTTACCGTGTGTATGCATTACTCTTATAGTTAAAACATAAAGAAAACGGACTAATTGAGAAAAGCAAATTAGGCACAGTGGCTCATGCCTGTAATCCCAGAGCTTTTGGGAGGCGGAGGTGGGTGGATCACTTGAGCTCAGGAGTTTAAGCCCAGCCAGGGCAACACGGCGAAATCTTGTTTCTACAAAAAATACAAAAATTAGCCATGCGTGGTGGTGCATGCCTGTGGTCCCAGCTACTTGGGAAGCTGAGGCAGAAGGACTGCCTCTCAAGTAGCTCGAGGCAGGTCGAGGCTGCAGTAAGCAGAGACTGCACCATTGCAGTCTGGTCCAGGCCACAGAGACCCTGTCTCAAAAAAGAAAAAGAAAAGCAACTAAGTTGAACGACACTGATATAAAAGCATTTGCAAATGTGGTATTGTTGTGTGTTGGGGTTTTTCCTTTCTGAAGACGCTTCCCCTCCCCCAAACATACTGCAAAGAAAAATCTTTCAAAGAGCCTGGCACACCCTCCCTCCAACCGCAGGAATGGCAAAGGCTTTTCCAAATAGGAGGTGCTTTGTCCTTGCTGGGACAAAGAATCAAAATGAAAGGATAAGCCAGCTCTGGCTTATCTTACCTGAAGCGGGGCCTCCTGCTTAGTGTTATTTTTTTTCTCCAATCCAAAGACCAGCCCTGCAACACACACCCATATAACTACAGAAAATAAATATGTCTCCCTCTCTGTCCTCCCCACCGGCCTTGGGCACAGATGGTCCTTCCAAGCATTGATCTAGGTATGTGAGGAAATGCTCACAGAAACATGAGCTAGGGCTGGCAGTAACTTTCAAGTACTTTTTCTGTTAAATAAAAAGCACAATACCTCATCACCTAGAATTTCCAGTTGGCAACAAGAATAAGGAAGAAGGCCAAACATATTACAAAATCGGCACACAAACACACACAACACATGTACCTTAATCATAAAAGGGTCTCTGTCTCTCTCTCTCAAGTCTTATTTTCACAGTTCCAAAGGCCTGACTACCAGGTTAAGTCACAGTAACCAAGAGGACAAACTGCTGGGAAGAGCACAGGTCCAAGAATCTGAGAACCTGGACTCAACTCCAGCAAAGTGACCTTCTTTTCTGGGTCTTGGTTGTCACCACCTGCAAGTCGAAGGAGCCCAGGTAGACAATAGGTGGTAGATGAATAGGATTCATCTCACATCCAGGGCAGCGGCTGCCAGAAACTCTATGCTGAGGAGGATTCTTAAGGCTGAATTTTTCAGCAGGCAGAGTATAATGACCAATGAGTGCCATCTGCCACAGGCATGGAAAGATAGCATGGTGGCATCACACCACATTCCTGTCAACTCCACAAGGGGTAACTGGATATCCTTAGCATCCATAACTTCTTAGATGCTGAAAAACAAACTGCAACAGGCAAGCATGCCAAGTTAACCCCACAGCAAGGAGGAGAGAAAAGCAACCACAAAGAGAAGCAAGAACTAAAAAGTGGAGCAGCGGCAAGCTCTTTAAGCACCCCACGGGGGAGACAAAATGGCAAATGAAAGAAGCCACGTTTGCTTATTCCGCTTACCCACAGAATTTTACAAAGTCCCTTACCAGCAGAATTTCACAAAGCCCCTGACTCTGACTGAGTGTGTCCCTCCAGAGGAATGCCCTGAAGATGATCAGCAGTACACAGCACAGGTTCCCAAACCTCTTGCCTGAATCACTTTAAATATATATACACTTTTTTCCTTTTTTTCTTTTTTTTTTTTTTTTTTTTTTTTTTTTTTTTTTTTTTTTTTTTTTTTTTTTTTTTTTTTTTTTTTTTTTTTTTTTGAGACAGTCTCGCTCTGTCACCTGGCTGGAGTACAGTGGCACGATCTTGGCTCACTGCACCCTCCACCTGCCAGGTTCAAGTGATTCTCCAGCCTCAGCCTCCTGGGTAGCTGGGATTATAGGCACCCAAACACCCAGTTAATTTTTTGTATTTTTAGTAAACACGGGGTTTCACCATGTTAGCCAGGCTGGTCTCAAACTCCTGACCTCAGGATCTGCCTGCCTTGGCCTCCCAAAGTGCTGGGATTATAGGTGTGAGCCACCGCACCCAGCCCTGAATCATTTTATTTGCACATCTGTTGTAACTTCTGAGCAGTGGAAGAGCTGCCATCACCTGCCTATAAACTGTGGGCTGAAACTCTCCTTTGGAGCAGTCTAACAGAAACCCTCGGAAAGACTATCAGGTGGCAATCTTCGGCAAGACCTGTGAATAAACTAACTTGATTTTAAAGCCTGATTTTTCTTTTGCTGACACACAGGTAATGTAAGCATCACTCTATTGCTGCATGGTCTATGTTCTGCACGGTACCAGCTCACACCTTACATTCATGACAATGGCCCAGGCAGCACCTATGTTCTGATACCTTTATTCCACTTCCAAATGAAGTGTCCTAAGCAAATAAATGCTTAGGATACTTCTGTCACAAGAATGATCCCAAAGGTGGGTCACATTTTTTAGCCTCAATGCTTGAGTTTGGGCGAGTATGAACTCCTTGGCCATGTGGAAAGCAACTATTCTGAAAGACCGGCTCCTTCGTGTGCCTAAACTAAGTCCAAACCGTAAAAGGAAGTACGACACCACCCTTTATTCAGTCCCTTTTCCTCACTTGTAGAAATACAGGAGACCTAGCAAAACTAAGGAAAGACATTAAGAGTTTTCTGTGAGCTACAAAAATCATAATACTGTTCCTTAATAAACAGCAGTGGGACGGGGAACAGCGGGGAAGTTCCTCAAACATTGAAGCTGACCAAGCTGTTAGAACTCAGGCGTTCCTGGGCATGCTGGGAGGCTGCAGCACCAAGGAAACAGAAGAAAAGCACTGGCTGGGTGTGGTGGCTCGTGCCTGTAATCCCAGCACTTTGGGCTTGGTGGATCATAGGTCAAGAGATCAAGACCATCCTGGCCAACATGGTGAAACTCCATCTCTACTAAAAATATAAAAAAATTAACCCGGCATGGTGGCACATACCTGTAGTACCAGCTACTCTGGAGGCTGAGGTAGGAGAATTGCTTGAACCTGGGAGGCAGAGGTTGCAATGAGCCCAGATCACACCACTGCACTCCAGCCTGGTGATAGAGTGAAACTCGTCTCAAAAAAAAAAAAGCATTAAAAACCTAAAACTGGGTTCAAATTTTTTTTATTCGAGTAAACAGTACTGCATCTTTTAACTACACATTTCCACATCCTTCAGTAATATATAGTACTACCCATGCTGGGTCAGGGCTTCATTCCCTTCCTTCTCTTTTGAAGCTTTGGGGTTACCTTTGAGTGAATTGTGGTCTGCAGAAGAAATGAACAATTCTCTACCTTGAAGAGCAACATTCACTGAAATTCTGGACCCAACAACAAACACTTTGTGGCATATTCTCCCCATCCCAAGCTCAGAAACAGCTTCCACTGAGCTTAGATAGACCTTTCTTTCCACTATAAGAGGGCACTGGCGGGGTGGGGGGCGGAGTGGCACCACAGTGCCAGGTACTGTCTTTTCTTGATGGTTATGCAATGACATGGTGCAACTTAAAAGCTAGGAGAACAAGCACAAAAATTCCTCTGCTCAATAAAGGAGTTTCTGCACAATCGGTGTAGCTGCAGGTAGTTCCTAATTCACAAACGGCTGTATTCTGGAAAACTCAACACATACACATGCGGTTTTTCCGGGGCTTACAGTGGCTTTCCCCCATACAAAAGAATACACGGCAACCTATGAAAGCTTACTGAATCAGCCAGGTGCGGTGGCTTACACCTGTAATCCCAACACTTTGGGAGGTCGAGGAAGGTGGATCACTTGAGGCCAGGAGCTCGAGATCAGCCTGGACAATATGGTGAAACCCTGTCTCTACTAAAAATACAAAAATTAGCTGGATGTGGTGGCGGGTACCTGTAATCCCAGCTACTTGGGAGGCTGAGGCAGGAGAATCGATTGAACTGGGGATGCGGAGGTTGTAGTTAGCCGAGATCGCTACACTCCAGCCAAAGAGACTCTGTCTCAAAAAAACAGAAAGCTTACTGAATCCACAATAATATTAGCTACCAATAGTTAACACTTATTCATCTCTTGCTCTCTGCAAGATACAACTATTATTATTACCGATTAACAATCATCCCTATTTTACAGAGATGAGAGCAGGGCTCAGAGAGGTTAGGCAGCTTAAGGTCAGAGCCGGCAAGTGCTAGACTTATTTAAATCTGGTAGGCTCTTTGCCATTCTTCTTCACTTACTACTGGCATAGGTGCGTGAACAAGACAGGTAACACTGGCCTGAAACTGGCTTTGAACTTCGGTTTCCTATAGAAGGGAGACAGGCTACATTGGAAAAAGGAAGCAATTTTTCTTCCCTGCCCCTGTGTGTACAGTAAGCATTCAGTAAGTATCTGAAGAGGTCACTTCCCTTTCTGTGTCCCTTCCTGTCTCACATACAACCTCTCAATGGCCTCAGTGAACCTGCATGGCTTCTTCTAGTGCCTTGCCCCAGGCAGCTCAACCACCCCAATCACCAAGCTCCCTGCCTCACCAAGTCCTACCCCTGATTAAAAGCCCTATTCCTAATCCTATGGAGATAACAAGGCCATTCATTCACTCTGCTAATATTTACTATACTCTATGCCTGCTATGTGCTTTGTTAATTCCTGGGAATGCCACAGTAAACAAGAAACCTTGATTCTACCCTAAGCAAGAAAACAAAGATATACATAAGAATGACCATCTACATGACATCTATTATACATCTAATACATGTGGTTTCAGAGAAGAAACCTGAATGTTCAATAAAAAGAGTATGATTTAAGATCAATTAAATTATGAAAGGTTCATATTATAGAATATAATACACCAACTGAAATGATGATACAGGTTATACAGAAAAATGTACGGCCATCGAAAGACATCCACACTGTAGAAACTGAAAACCGTTAACATAATAGTATCAAGTATGACATCATTTTGGGTAAAAATGTAACAAGCCATAGATCAGCACTAACAACAAAAAACAAACTAGAAGGATATACCAATATACCAACAGTAGTTAACAGAGTTGTAGAATTATGAGTGACTACGCTCCTCTGCATTTTCTGAACTCTCCACAACAAGCATACATCTTATAATTAGAAAAACATTACAAGTTTCTATTTTGGAAGAAAACAAAACATTCCTGTTCCACCTCATAGGCGTAAGCCCTCATATATTTGTTAAATGCATCAGCCACTGAGTAAATCAAACCTACTTCAGCTATGTGATTGGAAGAAAACAGCCAGAGTGAACTATCACCATAAGTGAGGCATTAAAAAAAAAACAAACAAAAAAAACCTACTGTCCTGTATACTTAAAAATAGTTGGGTCGGGCACAGTGGCTCAAGCTTGTAATCCTAGCACTTTGGGAGGCCAAGGTGGGCAGATCACTTGAGGCCATGAGTTGGAGACCAGACTGACCAACACGGTGAAACCCCTTCTTTACTAAAAATGCAAAATTAGCTGGGTGTGGCAGCACATGCCTGTAATCCCAGCTACTCGGGAGGCGGAGGTAGGAGAATCACTTGAACCTGGGAGGTGTAGGTTGCAGTGAGCCAAGATTGTGCCATTGCATTCCAACCTGGGCAACAAAAGTGAAACTCCCATCTCAAAAAATGATTAAGATGGTAAATTTTATGTATGTGTTTTTCACCCTGCAAGAAAAAAAATTCCTTAAGCCTTGTAAAACTTTTTAGAGTTTAATATAAATAAACCAAAACTTGGTAGAATTTGAAGCATTTAAAAATAAAATGAAAAAAATTAAACAGCTATCGACATGGCTTGGATTTGTGTGTCTCCACCCAAATCTCATGTAGAATTGTAATCCTTAATGTCAGAGGTGGGGCCTGGTGGGAGGTGACTGAATCATAGGGGAAGATTTCTCATGAATGGTTTAGCACCATCCACTGGGTACTGTTCTCACAATAGGGAGTGTGCTCTCATGAGAGCTGGTCATCTAAAACTGTGGCATCTTTTCACTCACTCTCTCTCTTGCTCCTGCTCCTGTCATGTAAGACACCTGCTCCTCCTTTGCCTTCTGCAATAATTGGAAGTTTCCTGAGGCCTCCCTGAAAGCAGAACCCGCTATGCTTCCTGTACAGCCTGCAGAATGGTGAGCCACTTAAACCTCTTTTCTTTATAAATTACTCAGTCTCAGGTATTTCTTTACAGCAATGCAAGAACAGATTAAAATGGCTACCTAAAAGTTCAAGAGGTTGAACAGAAAGCTATGTATTTCCCTACGTTGGAAATACACTCTTATAGTTCCTTTACCTAGGTTTCTTAAATTTTGAGTTCAGAGAATCCCCTACAGCACTAAGGCTTTCATAATCACACCCATAATTGTGCCAGCAGGATTGTGGGGACCATGAGAGAGGAGTTTCTGACAAGTGATTTCTCACACAAGTTTCAACATACTAGAGCTGTGTTATTTTCCATATTGAACATTTCCATGAAACCAACAGTGAAGGGTCAGCGTAGTATCTCCAGCCACCAGAACCAAGTATGAAATGGGCAAGAACAGGCTGTGAACAATGCAAAGCCAGCAACCAGCTTTGGGGTTGCAATGGAGTCCGGGGCAAAGATGTTCTCTCCTTTTTTGGCATTTCTTTCTCAGGAGGTTAGGGTTACTTTCAGCACCAAAAGAATGTTTATCGAGTCCTCTGTTCTCAGACAACAGCGGGATTCTTTGAATCATTCCATTACACTGCCCTCTCTATAAAAAAATATCTCATTACACTTGATACATTTCAGCAGGTTGGTACGATCTATAGGGTTTGAGGCTGAAGGGTAAACAACCTCCCTTCTGACAACTCAACAGAAAACAAACGTTCCTGAGAGGCAGATCCTTCAGAGCAAGATTTCTCAGACTCAGCACGATTGACACTGGGGTCCAGAAAGTTCTTTCTTGTGAGGGGCTGTCCTGTAGACCAGATGCTGATGTTCAGCAACATCCCTGCCTCCACCGCTAGATGCCAGCTGCAACTCTCCCTCTTCCCTGCAAGGCGTGACGATCAGAAATGTCTCCAGACAATGGCTCCCCAGTTAAAAGCCACTGAGTTAGGGGTGCAGAGCAAGAGCCATCTCCACAGTCAGATTGTCGGGGCTCACCACCTTCAGTCTTAACACAGAACAGCATGCTGGCAACTTGCGAGAATAGCACTTCTATGTGCGTGAGAACACCTGCTGGAAAGCTAAAGCCGTCTTTACGCCTTCATTCCCACTAAGGAAGAAACAAGAGCTGTTGGAACATTCATTTGCACCCACTGAAGCAACAAATACCTGTGGGAGAAGAGGGCTGAAAAAGGTGAGTTAGGCCGGGCACAGTAACTCACGCCTGTAATCCCAGCACTTT